TGAAGACAGCAACACTGAACCATGAGCTTTAAATGAATGGTTGGTACAATACATGGACCGTATCCCCCAAAGTTACCTCTTAAGTAAAATTAAGCAAGCTATTTCTTCCAAAGGAAGAATCCCTTCCCAGAGCTCATGCTCCCCTCCCCTGCAAGGTCATCCTAGGACCTAAGGAGGCTTGTAAGCTACACAGCAGAGGATGCCAGCTTGGGCGGGGACCAGGAGGCCAGCAGGCTGTGCAGTGTAGAATGTTGGAAAGCATTCACTAAGGAGAGCTGTAAGTACAAGGCCAGCTCACAGGGCCTGGAGCCTCCTTGTACCCTGCAGGCCAGCTCACAGGGCCTGGAGCCTCCTTGTACCCTGCTGGCCACACTCACCCCAGCCTTCCTTTTGAGGCTGTTTCATGTCTTGACAAGTCCACAAATTTTATCTCCCTGAAACATTTTAAACCTCTTGCCACTGCCTTGTTTTAAACACTTCAGCATCCACTGAAACCTACAGATTAAAGTTTAATGGTAACACATTAAGCTAGATATGGAGAAACACATCTGTAGTTCCAGTACTCACAGGATTGCGAGTTCAAGGCCAGTATGGACTATGTGAGACCCCTCCCCTCAAAATTAAAAATAAGGAGGACAAATCAAAGCCATCTATTTTGGGGGCACACAGCATGCTCCGATCAGCCACCAACTGTGGAGGAACTCCCTGCCAGCTGGGTGTGGCAATCATGTTATGGTCACCTGACACCCAGGCCACTCAGTTCCTGTATGCTGCGTGCACAACCCTCAGCTATGCTCCATGAATCTTGCTACCAAGTAGAAGTTGTCAGGGCGACAATGTTCAAATCACCCCTTACAAAGGGAAAGGACTAGCTGTTTAAATTCTAGAGGCACACCAGGAAAAGCCGCCTGGGCTGGTTTAGCAATGGTGACAGGCACACGAGTAGCCAGCCAAAGCCAATCACTGTGGCTTCCCTGACTTCTAAAGTGACAGGCCAAGAAGCACCGTGCGTGCATGTGTGTGTGTGCTCGGGCGCGCACACACACACACACACACACGAGAACAACTGGATCCCTGGCCTGAAAGACTTCATCTCAAAAACTGGTCTTTATTCACCATAGAAAAGTAAAGAAAACAAAAACAGCCTTTCAGGGTGGCAGCACATGCCTGCAACCCCAGCATCTGAGAGGCTAAGGCCTGCAGAGCAAAACCCATCTCAAAATAGAGACTTAAAAAGAAAAACATCACATCTGTCAACTGGACACAATCAGCTTCTTCCTTGTTTTACCCTTGCCACAGAATCCTCTAGAAAGAGAGAAACTTGACGTCACAACTCCCCGATGAAGTAAGTTGCAAGTGAACAGGAAACACAACTATCTTAACAACTCACAAACAAAACAGCGCTGGGGAAGGAAGCAAGTTCTTTTGTGGGAACAGGATACTAGCGCCATCGAGACAAGGGAGAAACACTGCCACCAAGTGGTGAGAGTCTCCAGTCGCTCCTGAGGTTGCTTGGTCTCAATGTAGCAGCAATCAGAATCCTCGGGCGCTTCCAAAGGAAAAAGAGCCCACGTCAAATCCCAACGAGACTCTGGGAGACGGAGGACAGGTCCAGTGTGGGTACTTAAAATGCTTCCAGGAAGACTAGGGATATGGCTCAGTTAGTAGAGCCTTTGCCTTGCACGCACGCAGCAGCCCTTAGGCAAGTCTGCAGCATTATATCAAAAGAAAACAAAACCCAAAAAGACAAGATACCACCCACTACTACCACTACAAAAAACAGGCCTGGTGGCACACCCGTGGAATGAGAAGTGTAGTTAAGATCAAGAGTTCAAGGCCAGCATCAGCTACTCAGTGAGTTCAAGGTCAGCCTGGGACACTGGGGATGCAGTTTCAACAACTATGTCCCCAGATGGCTGTGGTGTTCAATGAAAGCCAAGAAGGCCTAAGCAAGCGGGAATGACTGTGTAGACGAGTTATTCCACTTATGTCACCCAGTAAAATCTCCTTAAGGTACATACATTCCTGAAACAAATCAGTACAAAATGCTTCCTGCCCTTTTCTCAGTAACACAGAAGTCATACTGAGGACCGCTTACGTTCTTTGGCCCTGTTTACATCCTAGTTCATATGCCATCTAATCAAGAGTTCTTCATGCTGTAAGTGGGACAGGCTGACCCAGCTGTACTCACAAGACAAAAACAACAAAAACCTTTCAACTTTGGCTTCACTGAACTATATACTCACACAATGGGTTCAAGTCAGTAAATCACTCTTATTTGTGCCAGAATGAGTTTCCTTCTCTTTTTCAACACTTGTCAAAGTCTGAAGGCATCTATTGTTGGTGAAATGCACACTGTGATATGAAATGCTTAGATGAAAAGAACTAGACCAAGACTAAAGCTGTTCTCTGGCACAGACAGAACAAAAAGATTATCTCCCGTTCCAAGTGGAGAGCTGCCTAAAAATTATTCCACTAATGACAAAGCGTTCTCTTTTGTATGGTAACCGAGAAAAGAAACTGGAGAGCACGAGCCACCGAGTACCTAGTTAGACACTGATTCCCAGCATCCGGTGCAGGCCTGATATTAGGCGAGAGCCCTTGGCAGAGAAAACAGATGGCTGGGCTGCAGGTACTGGCCTTGAGCAATCCATGGGGCAAGGCCACCTTTGCAGAGGACAGGGCAGGCAGCTGCCTTCCCGGTACAGCAGCAGCACGCTCCCTGCTGACGCCTGTTTCCTATCGCTGTGCTTCCCCACCACAGTGCCTGTCCACTCACAACTCTTCTGTAAAAGGCTTAGCAGTGGACCACTTGTCCAGCAGGCACGAGGCCCTGTGTTCGATTCCTGCCAGCACAAAGAAAACAAGAAAGTCACCGAGATCCGAGATTACTGGAGGCTCTGGGACCTTGGAGTTCTGCAGAAGCCCAGCGCAGTCTCACAGAGAGATAGCTAGGCCTGGAAGACTCGGATCATACACATGTGGCTGCTTACTCTAAGTCCTTACTGCTCAAAATGGGCTGTCCACACCAGCATCAGTGAGGAAGCCTTTCAGAAATGGAGGTGCTCAGGATGTGATGGAACCCACACATCACAATCCACCTTTCAACAGGATTGCCAAAGGACCCAAATCTCATTAAAGCTGGTGCAACACTGTACTGATCTTGGACAGCGCCACTGGCAGATGTGTGCATAGTTTCGCCCAGGGACAAGAGCACCACCACCCCCTTGTCTGTGGTAGGGGCAACAGGGAGGCTCTGAAAGCGAGAGGCTAATTCAAAGGTAGAGCATCTCTACTCAGAGCAGCCAGTGTGTCTGCCTTCAGATGCATTCCTGAACACGCCCAATCTGCCAGAGCTGTGCCCTGATTTACTAGCGCTCTCGTGATACCACCCTGGACGGAGTGAATACTTTACCAAGTATGGTCCTTTCACACGCTCAGTGCTGCAAATCCTCCACCCAGAGAAACCACGGCACTAGGAGAGAGAACATGCTCTCCTGGGTTTTGGAGGCAAGAACAGTAAGTAGCGCCACAATATGGGAGCACCGTGAAGCCCGGGACCCTCTATTTAAGCCACCAAGCAGCTTTTAGCATCTCATTGCACGGTCTATGGGTGTGTCACTGTGGAGACACCTGTCTGGCCACAGTTGGGTAAATCTTGACGGTTTCCTATTCATCTTGCAGCTTTGTTTCCATGGTGGGGAGTGTTGTACATCTGACCTACCACCTCAGATGCAGAGACCAACCCCTTTGTAGGCTCAGAAGTAGAGTTAGCCCTCCTAGACTTTGCTAATTTAAACCTGTCAGGCTCACCAAACTCCCAGCAGCCATTGCTGAACTCAGTGGGGAGGGAGGCATGCTGGGGTATAGCTCAATGGTCAGGTACCTGCCTGGCATGTGCGGGGCCTGGGTTCTATCCACAACATGGGTGGGGCAGACATAGTGAGACTGTACATGCAGTTTAACTGCTCTTTTAGATAGGCCTCTGATATAAAATTCAGATTCGTGAGTTTCGTTCACAGGGCTTGGACACAGAAACTGACATGCTGGTTATATGGTTAGAGACAGACAGGGTTTGCCCAGTCTAACTTCTTCACCACTAACTCACCGTTCACTTCGTATTTTCCCTTCTTTTTCTGTATTTTGTCCTCAGTCACTAATAGCCTTTTCTTCAGGTTTTGGCTCAGACACAAAAATCAGAAACCCTAATTTACAGACCACACCACTGCTCTTGCAAGTAGTACCATCATTGAGCCGCAAACTCCACGCTTTTAAAATGACTACTGGCTTGTCATTTTAAATGCTCTTCCAAGAGCAAGGAAAGGTGTGAGTACAGACATCAATGCCTTGCTCGCCTTGCTCTTTTACCTATGGAAACGGTACGAACTCTCTGATTAGCTCACGAGTAGACTGCGGGAGTCGAAAAGCAGAATGGACAGCCATGTGAGCATCTGAGTTTGTACAAGGAGCCACCAAGGCTGTTTTCTACCAGTACTTCGATGATTTTCTTTCTAATATTATGAATTTCAAATCGCTGCCAGGGCAGGTAGGTAGCACGTACCTTTAACCCCAGCTTTTGGGAAGCAGAATCAGGTGGATCTCAGAGTTCAAGGCTAACCTGGCCTACACTGTCAGGCCAGCCAGGGCCACACAGTGTCTCAACACCTCCCCACCCGCAAAAACATGCATCTAATTGGCATTACGTTCCCTTGTCTGGGTGTGGGAAAAGTCATGATCCTAGGATTCCTGGTGAGAATTTAAGACAGCTCGATCCAGCCTGAGGTCCTCTCTGGGGAGGACTGGGGTATGAATAAGGACTCCGGCACCTACTTCATCCTGACATAGTTGTTAGCATGCCATTGGTCCTACATGACTTCTGTGTCCATCCCTAATTGCATCTCAAGAGTACCGTTGACACTCCAGTCACGCCACTCTCTACCTTCCTCCCAGGGCATCCGGGGTCTCTGTGACACTCAGTGACTCCTCAGGGATGGCCTTACCTTCATATCTGCCTGGGGAATCACACGCCTTCTGTGGAGTGGCCACTCGAAGAAATATCTGCTGTCTCCATGAATGCCGCCGGGTCTTCACAGGGGTCCCATCTGTGTCACCCAGGTGGTTTGTTTTGGATTCAAAGTCCCTAAAATGGCAAGATGACTGATTCATGCATGGCCAGGAGGCATCAGCTAACTTTATCTTTCCATAAACAGGTAACTCGAGAACCACAGAAGCTAAATCAAAGTCCCAGTGGTCAGTATTCTTCAAGAACACCGCGCAACAAGAACAACATCACACGCCCTGTACCACCGCTCTCATAAAAGCTGTTCTAAGGAGTATGCTCCAAGGATTGCAGCTTCCAATTGTGCCTTTCTGGGTTCTTCTTCAAGCAAGGAAAATGTGCCAGTTGGGGCACTGTCACCAGAACCCCAATCCATCCTCACATGTGGGTTTACTTCTCTAAGCACCAGCCTAAATCTCCATTACTGCCACAAATCACACCCCTCCACACACATGCACACACACACCAAAACAGAAAACCAACTGTAGTCTAATTAGAGAACCACCAAGGAATTAACGGTGTTATTGCTGATGACATTGCCTGCTCTAAAGCCTTTAGTTTTAAAACTATAAAACAGTATAATTGCTGATACATAAATATCATCTCATTAATTTTCTTTCCACTCACAAGACAATTTGGGCAGGCGCTTGTGATTTACACTCAGTGTGCACCACAGCGAGGCGGTCACCACACCTGCAGATCGGTTCTCTGGCTCGTGGAGGACAGACACAGCTACTGCCCTTCAACAGCCCCCACAGAACCAGGAAAGACCTTTCCTTCTTCTGAAGGTAACAATGCCAACAAACCAATCCTACGCAAAACGGGAGAGCGAGCTGATTCATGCTTTAAAACATGGCACTTGTGGGGAGAGACAGCAGAAGACAGGTAACCCACCAGACTTAGCTATCATGTTCCAAACGGCAAAAGACCAGTGAAAATGCCCCATTGATCACATAGTAACTCAGCACTGAGAACAGCCAGATTGGACGGGTTTAAAGCAAGCCCTACCTGTTTGTGTTCATAAAGTCACAGGTGTGATTTTCATCTACAGGAGCCAGAAATTTTAGAAAATTTGGCACAGAGGAGGAAGAATGGAGCTTTTTCCGCAGGGCATTACGGTAGGAGACACTAAGAATTTGGTTAAAAAAAGAGTTTAGGATGAAGAAATATAAACACACAAAGAAAAAATTCTAATCTTAAAAAGGAGCCCTTTTCACTGTAATAAACCAGGTAAGACATCAAAATACTTTGTGAGTGAAACTTGCATTTTCAGTCAAGGAATTACATTAGAAAAAAAACACCCAGTCTATCCCCCAAATGACAAGACTCATCTAAAGCAATCAGCGTCTCTGACATGGTGCGAAGCACAGTGTGTACAGACACAGCTGCTAGCCTGTGCGCATGCATGCGTGTGCTCCATAAAGATGAAGTGACGTGAATTTACGTGTAAAAAACGGTTCACCATTGAGACTTTTCCAAGTAGTTTAGAAAAAAAAGAATAAAATTAAGTATTCAAATGACAGATGAAAACAGAAAAGCCAAATAAAACCAAAAGGCCCCCCACCCTCCACAAAAGCAGTGAGCAGGGCTTCCCGCAAGGGCGGCCCCCATGCACTGGGCTGGGTCAGTGCAACCTCCTGGGCAGACAGACAACACTGGCCATGCGAGTGCGCTCACCTTCTGGGCACAGCATTCCCACTGTGCTCTCCACTGGCATTGTGTTTTAGGTACTTAAAAAAGTTGGGTGAGGAGGCGGAGGGGCTAAGACGAGGTGGAGGAGCTGAAGGCTGCCCCGAGCAGCACTTAGCCTCACCCCCAGGAAGACGGTCCGCACTAAACGCAATCACAGAAAGTGGAATTAGAGGGGACAGACTGCATGGGGAGGAGACAGACATGGGGAGAAAGAATGGCTTTGCGGGGCCTCTTCACTGCTCTCTGCTCTCACAGACAAACGCTGTCAGGTCTCTGATCACTTCTATACCTCCAATAACACTTTCTGCTCTGTTCCCGTGCTGGGAACTCACACATATTAGAAGAAAAGCCAAAGAAAATAACCCAAAATTTAGAAGCCTTATTTCCTTTTAGGACATCTTGCCCTGAGTTTCAAAGTTCTGTTTCCTATAGACTGAGGAGGAAGGTCACAAGAGAGAGAGCAAAACCAATACAGACAAGGTGAACATCTCCCCATCCCTCCCATGACTGGTCCATCACAGCCCATGGCGCAGCTCCTGGGGAGAGAGGGAAAATGGTGGCACCTGGATCTCCTACCCAGGGACTGGAATAGAACTTGAGCTTTTCAGGTAAGAATGTTTCCACCGCCAAACATGTGGGAGGGGGGGCTCCAGAGGCCACACAGTTATGGTACATAGCAGTGTGCTCACAGTGTACTGGAGAGCGGGGAACTTGTCAGACTACAGCTAAGCCACACTTGCCTCATCAGTCACCCAGCTCAATTCCACAGCACCAATGATGATTCCCAGTGAGTGGTTTAGGGAAGCAAAGCTGACAGCTCTGTATGCGGCACATATCATGTGTCTTCCCTCCACACAGAACAAACCCCAACCACTGCACTAACCCAAATGGCTGTACCTGGTATAAGCCACATGCGCACACATGTCCCCAACTTCTGCTGTCACCAGTTAAAGGGAGGCAGCCGCCACACAGAGGAACGTCTCCATTTTTAGACTAATCTTAAAGGATGATTCGGGGCCCTGTTACAGTCTCTGGTACTTGGGGTTAGTCATTTACAGACCCTGCAACACACAGGGACAGCTTCTGCCACCAGACTGCATGTGCTTCTCTACAGCCGGAAAAATTTAACCGTTTATCTGAGCCCAATTCCTAAAAGGAATGTGCTGGCTAGTTTTATGTCAACTTGGTACAAGCTAGAGCCATCAGAGAGCAGGGAGCTTAAATTGAGAAAATGCCTCCGTAAGACTGGGCATTTTCTCAGTGGCTGATGGAGGAGGGCCCAGCCCATTGTTGGCTGGAGTCCTGGGTTTTTATAAGAAAGAGGCCGAGCTGGGCAGTGGTGGTGAACGCCTTTAATCCCAGCACTTGGAAGGCAGAGGCAGAAGGATCTCTGTGAGTTTGAGACCAGCCTGCTCTACAGAAGGAGTTCCAGGACAGCCAGGGCAGTTATAAGAAAGCAGGGTGAGGAAACTATGAGGAGCAAGCCAGTAAGCAGCACCGTCCCTGGCCTCGGCATCAGCTCCGGCCTCCAGGCTCCTACGGTGCGAACTCCTGCCTCCAGCTTTCCTCCAGTGATGGACTATGATGTGGAAATGTAAGTCAAGCGAACCCTTTCCTCCCAACTTGCCTTTGGCCACAGTTTCATCACAGCAACAGCAATCCTAAGACAAGGACTGAATCCAGAATTCCCACAGTGACAGGCTTCAGAAAGCGACAGCTCGGAGTCTGTCATTCAACAGAGTGCCCAGGTCATACCTCCATCAAGACGGCCAGGACCAGCGTCCAGGCTTCTGGATGTCATCGTGGGCATCCACAGCACATCTCTTCACTCTGCCCATGTGGACACTGTGACCCCATCCCACCACAGCCCAGATCTAGGTATCCAAAGGAGGAAATCCTCCACTCATACCCACGTGCCACCTTTCCCAAGACCAGCAGACAAGTTCCAAAGTCAACATCTCATGCAGTAAGGACTAACGACACACATAGGGATCTTTTTTCCCCCATGTTTATCCTCTTGCTAACTCTATACTTCCTAAGGAACTGGGAAGAACTACTTCAAGTTTTTTTGTTTTGTTTTTTGAGACAGGGCTTCTCTGTGTAGTTTTAGCTGTCCTGGAACTAGCTCTATAAACCAGACTGGCCTTGAACTCACAGAGATTCACCTGTCTCTGCCTCCCGAGTGATGGGATTAAAGGTGTGCACCACCCAGCAACATTACTTCACGTTTTATGTTTTGATGTCAAGGGTTAAACCAGTGGTCTTCGGGCCCCCATGCACCCTCAGGGTACACAATGAATGTGATGCTTTAAGGAAATCTTACTTGTGTTCATGAGGCGTCTCTGTGCTCACAGAATGATACCTCATGAGTTTTCTCTGAGAGACCCCTGGAGAGCTCTGAGCTGGCTCTGGAGGCGCCAGGCTCTCTACAGGGAAATGACTCAGGGTGTTGGCTCTCCTTCTGAATGATTGCTGGGGTGACAGGAGAGTGGACTCTTCTGCAGTGTGGCTCTCTGAGTCACTGGACAGGTCTTCTGAGGATCCAAGGAGCTTGAAGGAGCTCTCAGAGGCCAGCATGGCCTCCTTGTCACCCATTGACAGCTCCTGACAAAAGACAGACAGACAACAGATTAGACAGGCCACAGGGAAACTGGGAGACTGGTATCTCTCTGAGCACAGGGCAACATTGAATGTGTAGGCCTATCTGACTAGAATGCCATCTAGAGGCCACCAGAAACACAAGGCTATTAAGGCCACTGAATAACAACTGCTTCTCAGGACAGGTGCTTGCTTGTGAAGAGATGGGGAAATGTCCCAAGTGCTATCATGAAGTCACAAGCTACAACAGACTGCTCTAGGTCGCAGCACAAACATTGTACACTCCAGAGAACAGGCTCTTCACAGGCCTGTAAACATGGAGCTGTAGGGATAGTTCCCGCCATTGAACTAACTTCTTTATCTTTGCCAAGTGTGTTCATGAATGTTTACCCACACTTCAAGGTTCTTTCTACTCTGGTCTAATGTTGAGATTTAACTCAGTAATCTTAATGCTAAAAATTACACCCTATATTCTTCCTGAAGAGGAAACATGTGTATCACACTGAGACCTATCGTCACAGTTCAGGAGAAATCATTTAACTTCTTGCTGTTTCTCATTGTTGTAAGAGTACAGTAGAAGCCCACTGAAGCAAGATGAGACAACTTTAAGGTGGTTTGTATTGTGTCTAATGTGACAGAGATAAACTAAAGTTTCATTAGTCACTTCTGTCTTACCGAGTGCTCAAACATACATCAAGAATCCTAACAAGCCAAGCTTGGTGATCATGACCATAATTCCTGTTCCTGGAAAGTAGAGGCCAGAGAATCAGGAGTTCTAAGCCAGCTTAGGATACACATCATGGTTAGTCTGAGCTAGGTAGTAAGATCAGAAAACAGGGCAGGGTGGGGAGAGTGGAGACATAAAAACAAAGGAACTGCTTGATTGACACCAAGCTACCTGGACTCCTCCTCCCTGGCTTATTTCCTCAGCACAACCTCCCTCCAAGCTTTCCTCAAGATTAAATTCACAGCATCAGTATCCTTCCCTTCTCCAAGCTTCCCACTACCCGACTCCTCTTCCCCTCACTGCTGACATCCAAGCCACTAGTATCTATTGTCTGCAGCTCTCCTGCCCACTCCCCGATGCCAGCTCTACTCAGGTAACTGTCCTTTCTCTCCTGTGGGTCTACTCACCGTTTTACAACAGGTAAGCTAGCAACACAACATTTACACACTTGAAGGGATTACTGTGAGGTAGGACCAGCTCGTGCCATGAGGAGGCTGGATGGTGACACGGCCCACTGGGTCTTAACTTAGCAAGCATCATGTAGACAGATGACTGGCTTCCAGCGTTTCACTGAAAGAAGTGCATCTACAAAAGCAGCGGCAGCACCTTGCTGTTACCAGAGATGTGGCATTGCAACCCCACCTGGGACAAGCGAGCCACACATACACCTTGATATCCGACTTGTACTCATCTACGGAAGTGTGTGTGTGTCAAGCCACATGCTACACACACTAGTAAGTGTTGATAGCAATTTGGTGGCTTGCCAGCAGCGTTTTAAAAATAAAAGGGCTGAAAGTAACAGTGTATGTAGCCTGTTATTCATTTGTAACTCCATATTCATTTTGTGTGGGAGGGGTGTGTGTGTCTTTGAACTATGTCACAATGGTCTTTCTTATTGTTGTATAGGATTTGAGGCCTTTGAAGACTGTAAGTCTAGGACAGAGCTCTGAAAAACTGAAAGCATTTCCCTGGTGATGAGCTGGAGTTTGGACTCCCTCACTCCTGCATCAGAGCATACTGACAACAGCAGGAAGGGGGTGGGGTAGGGAGGGGGGGAGCTATCTCCCGAACACCAAACCTCCAATTTACATCTTGGCAGTCACAGAGTTAAACAAACCAGGTTCAGACACGTGAATGCCTCCAGAGCAAGATAGGAAAGCAAGGGGGATACAACAGGTGTGTCACCACAGGTGACTGTCAGCCAACTCATTGAACCTGCGCTCAGTGGCAGACCACAAGCAAGGCCTGGCTGCTTGCTTAAGCAAAACAATCATGTATATTCAGTCACAGGGTCAGCTACAGGACAGTCATAGGGATTTATGACACACAATTCCCTGACTTCACAGCCCAGCCTCCCACCTCTGAAGCTCTCGCAAATTTATTTTTAGTATTGCAAAAAATCTACTTTGAATAAGAAACTCATTGGTTGTTACAAATTAGATCTCATTTGTCTAAAATTATGATCTTGATTCTCTGTTTACGAGAACAGCTATTTGTCTTTTTATGTAAAACTTTTATGTTATGATTAAAAACAATCGCATGACTAGCCCCCCACTTGTGCAGAGGTCTGGGAACAGTAAATGGTGGGCTACAGAGCTGGATGGGCAGGCCTGCTGGCAGGATCTTAGGGGCAACTCATGGAGAACATACTTACTTTGCTGGTGTTACTCAGAGTACTAGAAGTGGAGCTGTCCAGATCCACGCTGCTGGAATGTTCCTGCAGGCCTCTGGCTTTACTACCCTACATAAAGAAAAGGCAGGTGAGATACATCCCCCAAAGCACATCAGCTGGAGGCAGCCTGGTCTCCTTAAGTAAGCTCAGAAAAATGAAGTCCCTGACAAACACCACTGAGCATATCTGTGCATTATGACCATCACGTCTTTGTCATCATTTCAAGGATCATACCCACCTAGATGATCCACAAAGCCCTGTGGACTGTGATCTGCTGGGAATCATGGACAGGAAGAAGGGGCAATTCATCTATGATGTTCCCAAAAGCACACTCAATAAATAGCTCTTTCCCGAGTCACAAGTGGTCATAACCACCACCTGCATGTCACTCGATCAACCTGTATCCCTCTGGGAACTCTCAAAGACAAGCCCTTCCCGCCTTGGTTTTATAACTGGACTGTTTTTTGAATTATCATAAGAGGTGATTACTGAAAGTCTCAGTAATACCATTGGACAAAGCCATGTTTAACTGACTAATGCTTCAGAGGGAATATGCCCTAACATTTCAAAGAACTACAATGAAACAATGCAAGCCCTAAAGGTGTCAAGTTCTGATTTGTTAGAAGTAACATAAGGCTGTTCACACATATGGGATAGGAGGGAGTTGGAGAGATGGCTCAGTGGTTAAGAACACAGGATAGGAGGATGCTTTCCTCAGGAACTCCCAGGTGATGCTCAGTGTACTTGGATTCCTAAGGAACTCCCAGGTGATGCTCAGTGTACTTGGATTCCTAAGGGCCTCCCAGGTGATGCTTGGTATACTCAGATCTTCCTAGAGAGTTCTTGTGAGCAATTTCTCTACAAAGGTCTTGATAGCAAGTATCTCATAAGTGTTTCAACATTTGTGACAAGTATTCAATTCTCTATAAAAGTAGCCTTAGATAACAGGTAAGTATTTCATGAATCTACGTATAGGGAGTTCCAAACAACTAACTAAAGGAGCTGACAGAACAGTTTTCAAAGTTGTCCCCAGGGACACCAGGGAAGATGGGAGCTACCTCTTGCACACAATCTCTGTTCTTTATAGGGACTGTACAAATACAGCACTCTTGGGAGCAGAGAATCCCATTGGATAGATCACAAAGGAGTGTAACTTCCCAGCACATGGGAGTTTGAGTCACTAGGATTGGGAGTACACAGTGTGATACCATCTCAATAAGTAAATGGAGAAAAACCATAAATAAAAGGTAGTTATTGCTCTAAGTCTGATGAGACATAAAATCAAGCTGAATCCTGGGCTCTGTTTAAGAATTATTCAGTTGAAGGATGCCATCTACCCGGGACAGGATGCTCTCCAAGGATTCTGTTAAGGACCTCTTTGCTCTGTTCTTCAGCATATCTAGCCTGAAACGGGTAGCGCTGGGTGGCAGTTCACTCCCGATATTCTCTGCTGCCACCTGTGGTGTCTAGAAAGAGAAACAACAAAAAGTCCAGTCAGTTAAAGCTCCCACCCTTCTAGGTACACATGACAACTCCTGGTACCCATCGCTTTGAGAGCCTGGGGTCCCACACGCTCCTTAGTGACATGCCTGCAACTCCAGTGCACAATTTGCTATCCGAAATGAACTGAGGAGATGTGCTCTGAGTCTAATTAGCTGCCTCTCAGGCTAAGCAACCGAATCAGAACTCTGCTGTTTCCTAACCGTGGCCTTGTACAAATGTCCCATTCTCTAATCACACCACTGTGCTGCGAGTCTACAGCGGGAGGAATGAGGAAAGCACTGAGCGATGGATCTGAGACCAAAACGATCTGCCAGGCTTTTACAATAAAGCAGTAACTTATGAGGGGCATTTCAGAGAGTAAGTTAAAACTTGAGTTTATCCCCTGAATCCATCCTCCTGTCTACAGCAAACGCTTCGTCCCTTCTTAGAATCCGTCTCCCCCTTCTCTCTCACCCGTTATTTCATGATCCCTTTTCTCCTCGGAAACCTGGCTTCCCTCTCTCAGCTGCACATGACATTAAACCAAAAGCACAGTTGAATGTGACAGCCACTAAACACGTAATGTCACTTGTTACCCCCAAATCCACACCTTGAGTTGCTTATATGAACTCTCACCTGGCTGCTTCCTGCTGTGACGATTTCCTCAGAAAAGGACAAGCAAGCAAACCCTCAATCACTTCAATACCAACACGTTTTTTTTTGCAGCAGTTGCTACATTATTTCAAGTACACAGAAAAGTATAGACACCAGCCCCATAAATAACTTTGCCTTGCTCAAGCCTGGTCAAGTTGGTACTGCCAGATGTTGAGGAACAAGAGGAGCTATGCATCTGGAACTAACAGCCAAGTGAATGACCTCTGTTGGACCCCAGCTGTGTGGCACAGCCAGCACATTACCTGCTACCCCACCCCCAGTGCCTCCACCAGGAGACTGCACTGTCTTCCCAGATCTGCCATGATCTTTAAAAGAATTAATACACACCCCAACACTCTGAGCACAGTTCTCACTCCATGACTGTCACTTATGATGACTACCTATGTTCTAGAAGTCAGTTCTTAGGAATCATTATACTTCATTGAAACCTTCTGGTCACTAGTATTTCCCACCATGTCAATCACTATCCTGAATTTGCTATTATATTAATTCGTACTTTCTATTTTTATGTACATGTACCCATCAAACATATGCTGCCTAACATGTAAATAAACACCTAGGTAAAAGGTTTCACTAGTCGCTATGGAAGTTAGCATGCAGTTTTTTCAGAAGTCTAAGAAGAGAACTAGCGTGTGACCCAGCTGGGCCACTCTTGGGCATTTGCTCACAGGATGCTAAGCCAGCACACACAGAGACACCGTCACACCCACATTTACTGCAGCAGTACTCAAAAGAGCAAGGGACAGAATCAGCTTCGGCGCCCATCAACTGATCAAATGGATAACGACAACGTGATACACACACACTGCAGAGTTTTATTCAGCCACAAAAAAGAACAAAATATGTCATGTGAAGGGAGCAGGTGGAACTGGAGATACCTATGTTCAGTGAAATAAGCCAGATTCAGAAGGACAAATGCCACTTTTTCTCTATGTAGAATCCAGATTTAAATCACACACACGTATATCTACATACACGAGCACATGTGTGTACACACGCATACACACACACACGCATGTAAAATAAAAAAGTGCCATACTGCACAAATTTCTCTGCAATTATCTCTCTTCTCCCAATATTGTTTTTGAGATTTAATTTATGCTGACAAATGATTTTTGGTTCATTCACTTCAGCCTGAGGACAGTTTTATATAACCAATCTATTCCTGTCCCTACTATTAAATATTTATCCTTTTTTTCCCTGTCTCTTGTGAAGGAGGCCACAGTGAACTCTCATGTACAGATCCTTAAGCATATACATAGAAGATTCTACGAGGGAAATAATGGGGACACCCTTGCAGGGTCACAGGCACCAAGCATCTGCAGCAACAGCAGATATCACCACCAGCAGGTGTCTTCCTGAAATGACCCCAATTCATAGCCCTGGCATCAGCACACAAGGACCACCCTTCCAGGGCACTGCTAGCATCCTTACGGTTCTGCCAAACTGATGGACACAGAATGCTCTTTGAATATGGCGTAATTCCTACTCTAGTAAGCATTTTTTACATTTTTCTCAACTTTTCGAAGACTCTTTGTTTTCTCTGAAATAATGAAATCCTAATTCACTGATGAATGCTCTAACCCTCCAGTGTTTAGGAGAGAAAGAAGAAGTTTAAATAAGAGCTACACTCTGATAAGAGCTACATTAATTGTCCACTTTTATAAGTTCCACATATTATTCACAATTAGGACATCTGTGAGAATAGCTACTAGCTTAAAGTTTCTTCAAGGAACACTACCATTTACCTCTGTGTTCTCCTAGTAATAGCAGCACTGAGTAGGAAATATGTATTCTGGACATGTCACACTAGCTTAAGAGATGGTAGAAGAGTCATGTTTGCCAGAGAGCCCTGCAGGGAACACATACCTGAGCAAGAGACAAACACCACCCAACACCTGCTAAATGTTACACATTCTGGGCAAGGTCTTTATTAGCTGCAACTGGTCCCACACATCAATGCCAACGATAAGAGTCTGTCCAGGCTCAAAGAAGGGCAGCCATCAGTGTAGAGACTTACCCAAAAAGGGGCCTGCCTAAACTCAACATCAGGCTACCCACAAAGTTAAAATGATCCACAACTGCTCTCAAACTCATTTATAAAACAGAAGCAAATTGAACCAATGGTTTTGACAGTACACAAAATATTGACTGAAAGATTAAAGAATAGGAAAAAGAGGAGCCACACCCCAGTGTTTTTAAAGCAGGCCTCAGGAATTTCCGATACTTATACACTGCTTCTGTTCCCTTCTGTTTCCAAAAATATGCCTTTCTCTTATCTGGGCCAGAACTCAAATATCATTTGTAATAAGGAGAGCTTAGAATTTACCTTTAGAAATATTCTATTTTTATTATCTTAGAATAAACATCTGGAAGTGTTCTCTTTGAAGATTAAGTTGGGTCTTAGGTATTTTCTAGTGTGGAGTCTCTGCAGTGAATTCTGCTGTGGGACAGGATCCATCTAGTGACAGATGGGAGCAGGACTGGACCCAACCAAGCAAACACAAGAGCCCAGGCTGTAGATAAAGAGATGCATGCCCAAGTGTTTGGGGATACAGAGCTTATCAATGCACACTTTGAAAGGCATCAAAGTGCTGGGTTAGCAGAAAGGTAGATACATGACAAAACAAATTTACCAAATTGTTAAATCTGTATGTTGGGTAAAGGATATAAGTACTCATGGTACAATCTTTCCAACTTTTCTGTGCACTTGAAATTTTTTTTCTTAATAAAACATCGGGGGAAAAATTGCTTGAATATGAATCCAGGGGAACCCACAACTAATCCTGTAGCAGTAAATTTTGTTAAGCTCCTAAAATTATGATTAAAATAATACACTTATTTAGACTTAGTAAGTATTCTGATGTCTGTTCACACTTCAACTCTAAAATGAGGATTTTACTACCCAATTAAGAATGCTGTTGAAGCCAGGTATATTGGTGCATGCCTGTACTCTAGCACCCAGAGGGCAGGGACAGATGCCAAAGGACGGTTGTGAGTTCAAGCCCAGCCTGCTCTACACAGCAAAGGAAAAAAGAAAAAAAAAAAAAAGCTTTTGCAAACTGAATGGAATAGCTCATAAGCATGAAAAACTATAAATCCTGACTGTGAGGCTCTGTCTCCTTCACATCAGTCTCTTATGCTTGGAAAATGAAAAAAAAAATTAAATATATTTCTCCAAGGGGCTTATCTATGCCCAAATCATAAAGGTATTACTTTGAGTCCACAAAAATTAATTTGTACTTAAGTCAAAACTTTCATTTGTAAGTGTTTCATTCTATTTTTCTAACAGCTATAAGATTTCAAAATTATCAATTTCCTGTCAGACTGACTCAAAGAAAAAAAGTCAGAAAAGACTTTTGTGGCACAAGGTGTTAGAAGTGTGTGTGTGTGTGTGTGTGTAACTACTAGAGATAGTTTGCAAGCTGGAAAGCTTGACTGGGTAGTAAAGGGGTGGGCTCAGGACCCAGAAAGGGCCCTACAGGAACAGCACAGGTTAGGAAGGGCCGGCTGGCGGCAGACTGAGGCCAAGAGCGAGGGCCCAGTTGATGTCCCTTGTGTCAGGCCACTGCTCTAGGCCCCAAAAGCTGGCTGATGAGATAGCGATTTCAGAGACCACAAAAGCTCTAACAGTTCCCGAGAAGAACTTGATTGCCAAAGTCAACCGGCAAGTAGACACCGACTGGAGGGAGTTGCTAAGCCTGTGCTCAAGTAAAACAGCACCGAGCTTGGTTACCGGACAGCAAAGGAGCCTGTGGGCAACGGCTCACAGGACACAGCTCCGAGCACTCTATGCTCCTGTGCCCCTGCCATGGGAATTCATGTCTGGAGCAGGTTTAAACATATCAGAAAGTGCATTTTACAAAACCAGGGAACCTAATGGCCCTTCACTGATTTTTTTTCCCTTCTAGATTTGCTGGATCAGTAACCTCAGCAAATATAAAATGTTCAGGGGTTGAAGCTATAAATAATGAACTAATAAGAGACTCAGGAACTTGGTGCATGGCACATGTATGCTGGCCCCCATGCTCGAAGGTCTTGAAGGCAGAGTCTGTGGAGATGGGAAGTCCCAGTTTCTGGCAGGGTACCCCAGGAGAACTAAGCAAGGGTGAGCAGAACAGACATGAGGGAGATAGCACCCCATCATCCAAATGAAGTAATAGATGTTCTGACTGAATGATGTGGAGCTAGGCTTACCACATCTGGCAGGCCAAGGACACTGTCTCACATTTACATAGCATTTATACAACAAGAAACTTAAAAGACCCTGAATATACTTCCAAGGGCAGCTGGATAAAGGCAACAAACACCAGTTCCCCAAGTCACACAACTCTTTAGATCAGCGCTGTGGCTACAACCTCCTATGGTGCAGACAGAGACAACTCGTCATCTTAACACAACTAACACGCCCTCATGTTCTCTATGTGTGCAAAATAAAACTGATGGAGAAAAAGAGGCCTCTGCGTATCCCCAAGTCCCAATTTGTGTATAGCGTAGGCCTAGAAACGTATGAGGGGTCACGACGTGCTTACCTGCTTTGGCTCCCCAATGTGGTTGTGCTCTTTTTGCTTCTCTTCATATAAACATCTCAGAAAAGAAATAATTAATTCATTCTCTCGCTGCTCGTTTCTTGGCCTTAATTTCTTTTGGGGGAAAAAAACAGAAGCATAAACATATTTATTTTTAATTGTCAACAAACAACACTGCTAACACATCCCCTTCCGAAGGGTTAACAGCTTCCACCTAGCAACTAGTGCTTTTCCTCCATGCTATCACTAGGGGGCACCAGTGACCCTCAGAGTAGAGGTAATTATTTAAAAGGAACAGACAGCAGAGCCCCTGGGCCAGATTTAGGAACTGATCTTTGATCTTCTTTTACCCAAGATAAAATTTTTAACATCAGATAGTAGCGGTCAAAATAGTTAATAAATAAACAGCTTTTAAAAACAGATAAAGCAAAATCTCTGTAAACACCCAAAGTCATAATGATTATAGGTACCTAGAAAAGAACACAGCAATTGGATCAAGGGTCAGGCTGTCACATGGTGAAGATGTCCATTATGAGGCACTTTGTGGCAGTCCCATGAAGCAGGTATGAAAAACCGCAAGCCAAGTTCTCATGCTGCCCTCCCCCTCCTTTCCCTTCCCTTCCCTTCCCTTCCTTCCCCTCCCTTTCCCTTCCCTCCCCTCCCTTGTGTCTCTCTCCATTCCTTTCTCCCTTCCCTTCCCCCTTTTAGCCTTTTTTCTTTACATTCTCTCTAGGACTTTTAATTTGTTAGCAGGGGCATGGCACACCCTTCTACAAATTAGCACACGCACGTGTTAGTTACTTGTAGAAACCAATTTATTCTGCCTTGCTTCCACTAAAAGACCATGTTCTCCTCCAGCTCCCAGATCTTTACATTATAAACATAAATAAAACCAGTGCTCCTACTATGTATCTCCAGACTTCTAGTGTGCCCTTTAACAAGTCAAGAGAGTGACAAGCAGATCAACTACACAAGCAGTAAGTCTGGGTCAATGCCATTATTGGCAAATCTCTCCCCAGTTAACTAAGGAACAGTAATGGTATTATCCTTAGAAGTCACAAGCATTACAGACAAAGGAAACCTTAATCGCAGACTCCTGACATGCTCTTCCTTAGAAAAGGCCACTGTAAATGGCAAGGTGGCTCAGCAGATAAAGGCACTTGCTGACAACTAGCTGACCCAAGCTGACCAACAGAATTACACGGTGGAAACTAGGAGTGCCCGTGTGCAGTTATACCAGAGACAGACAGACGGACGGACGGACGGACGGACGGACGGACAAACAACTCAAATGGGCAGAAAATGCAATCACAAGCAGGCATGGAAGAGTACTGCAGTTGCTGCCCGCTGACCACAGGAGCCATGAGACCCCACTGGAACACATTAAGCATCCCAAGGCAACCCTCAGTGCAGCAGAAATGCATTATCCAGTAACACACAAAGTCAAGAAATAAGCACTTCCTCAAAGTAACTGTGAAATATGGAGGGGCTACTCTCCTACCGCATTAAAAAAGATGAGGGATGTGTCACCACCCTGAAATCTCTCACGTGGCTTCCCCATTCTCTACAGTGGCTAACCCACCACTTCCTTCAAGTTTCATACACATCCATTAATCAGAGCGACAATCATGAAAATGAATATGAATCAAGTTGAGTAGCATCAGCTTGCGGTCAATAATTAACTTGCTTGTTCACAACCAGAGGTGTGAGGGGCTGGGATGGTGGTTGCCCGTGGCAACCATGAGGCGTGTTTACAAGCAAAGTAAAGGTTCTGTGCTCAACCTTGGTGATGCCATTTGTATGCTTCTCTAGAAATGTTTCCATCAATTTAAGTAATCCAAAACAGCCAACTTCTTGCTAAAAGTTAATCTGTTTCTTAGCCTTGTTTCTCCAAGGGTCTTCTAAAGGATCATAAAAGCAAGAGAAAAAAATCCTGATACTGACAGTTAAGTGTCAGAACACTGGAAGAGTCTAAGGTGTTCCAATCACTAAGACATGCTTTACTTGGATTCCACGCTTGATATTTGAAGACTTTGAACAGTTATTTTTATTATTATCACTGCAATGTCAGCTTGAAGGCAATTTTTCTGCTGAAGGTGGCCAATGCTATTTGGGCACTCAAAGAGTGGGGGCAGCATGAGAAAAGAGGGAGACTCCGTGTTGTCACTGGCACAGATGGCCCCCTAGGTATGCTTGAAAATCACTCATTTCGAGCCTGTAAATAAAAGGCAGTTCTGTGGTGTTGTGGGTTCTTTTAGGAGATGAGAGGCTAATAGCCCAGTGCCCATCTGCCACCATTTATTCTGAGGGCTCAAGTCAGCAGCCATCATCTCTACTACCATTTTCTTAGTTATTATTTAGGCTTTCTCCTAAAAGAAACACAGAGTATAATATACATGTTTTAATAACAAAATAATAAGGATCCATGTCAAAGGTAATTACACTGGCCTTATATAATTGGCCTTTGGGAGGGTTTTTCAGAAATAAATTACCCCCCCCAGAATAAGAAAAGATATTCACCAACCCCACAACTGACAGAGGGCTGATCTTTAAAATTTACAAAGAACTCAAGAAACAAGTCTCCAAAACACCAAAGGATCCGATTAAAAAGTGGGGTATAGAACTAAACAGAGAATTCTCAATAGAGAAGTCTAAAATGACTGAGAGGCACTTGAGAAAGTTCTCAATAGCCATCATGGAAATGCAAATCAAAACAACTTTTAGATACTCATCTCATTCCTGTGAGAATGGCTAAAATCAAAAACACCAATGACAGTTAATGCTGGGGAGGATGTGGAGAAAGGGGAACACTCCACCACTGCTGGTGGGAGTGCCAACTTGTACAGCCACTTTGGAGATCAGTATGGAGATTCCTCAGGAAAATGGAATTCAGCCTACCACAAGATCTAGCAATTCTACTCTTAGGCACATATCCAAAAGATGCACATTCATACAATAAGGACATCTGTTCAACTATGTTCATAGCAGCATTATTTGTAATAACCAGATCCTGGAAGCAACCCAGATGCCCCTCAACTGAAAAGTGGATAGAGAAAATGTGGTACATTTACACAATGGAGTACTCAGCAGGAAAAAATAACGGAATCTTGAAATCCGCAGGCAAATGGATGGCACTGGAAGAAACCATCCTGAGTGAGGTAACCCTGTCACAAAAAGACAAGCATGGTATATACTCACTCATATGGATTTTAGACATGGAGCAGGGGAGTGCTAGTCTACAATCCCACCACCAGAGAGTCTGGGAAACAGGGAGAACCCTAAGAGAGATACGCATGGTACCCCAGAGAAGGGGAATGGGATGGGATCTCCTGAGGGAAATGGGAGCATGGGGTGAGAGAAGGGGAGAGGAGGCTTGGAGAAAGAGAGGGGAAGAAGAGAAGGACATTGGGGAGCAGAAAGGTTGAGTCATAGGTTTGAGAAGAGATCTGGCACTAGGGAGATTTTCAGATCTACAAGGATGATACCAACTGGCAAACTAACCAATAGTGGAAAGGCTACCTTAAATGCCCTCGATATTGAAATTGATGACTTCCTTGAATGCCATCCTAGAGCCTTCATTCAGTGGCTGATGGAAGCAGAGGCAGACACCCACAGCTAAATACTGAACTGAACTCCTGGATCCCAGTTGCAGAGAGGGAGGACTGATGAGCAAAGGGGTCAAGACCTGACTGGTGAAACCCACAGAGGAGGCTGACCTGAACAAGAGGGAGCCCCTGGACTCCAGACTGGTGACTGAGAGGCCAGCATGGGCCTGATCCAGACCCCCTGAACGTGGGTGTCAGTGAGGAGGCCTTGGCAATCTATGGGGTCTTGGATAGGAGACCAGTATTTAGCCCTGTCATACAAATGGACTTGGGGAGCCCACACCACATGGAGGGATGCTGTCTCAGCCTGGACACATGGGGGAGGGCCTAGGCCCTGCCCAGGATGATATGACAGACTCTGAGGATTCCCCATGGAGGGCCTCACCCTCCCTGGGGAGTGTAGGGGGAGTGGGGTGGGTGGTTGGGGGTTTGGGGGACGGGAGAGGAGGGGAGGGTGAGAAAGCTGGGATTGACGTGTCAAGCAAGCTTGTTTCTAGTTTAAATAAAATTTTAAAAAATGGAAAAAAGACTACATCACATTTTTATGTGACCTTTTTGAACTGTGTGAATTTTCAAATACATTAGTGGGGACTACTACCCATCACTGATGAGTGATTGAGCCTACAAAACGTTTTAGAAGAACCATAGAAGCCATGTAGTAAGCCCATCAATACACCACCAGAGAAGATCAGACTGTATCTCTCAAAAGGAGCCAGCGTCGGCATTGGTGGAGGGTAATGGATGAGCTGGCTTCTCCAGGCCAGTGAACAGCATGGCTGCTCCTGTGATTCAGAGAGACTACAACCTAGAGCTGTGGAGAACACTCTCTTCAATAACAGCTAGACGCTTCTGTTTTTTCAGTGAACTTTTATCATCTGCTTTTTTTAAGTGTCTCTCTGTTCCTGGAGGAGAGGGATCATATCCATTAGACTTCCCACTACCGCAAGATGGAGTTTTGGGAATTGCCTATACTGAGTCATCATCATACTGCTTAGGGAAAGCTCCATGGTGCTGTTCATATGAAAGTGAAAACCTGCATTAGGGAAGGGAAGTACGTCTTCCGTGCTTGCCAGGACAGTGCTCCCTGGGTGACTTAGTAGTACCACGCCCTAAGGGGGTTGGCACTGATGCCCTTGGCTTCAGTTGCAATGCATTAAGAATGAGAAGCAAAGTTGAGTCTCAACAAAACTCAGAGGCAAATAAAAATTGTGAAAACAACCCTCAAGGGCATTATTAAATTAAAACAAAAAAACCCTTCCTATGCTTTCTTTCTGAAACTGCATGCCTTTCCTACAGAAGAACAGGGGAATTAGGGAACTTTATTGAGAAACCAGAAAGAAAGGCAGACCTTTTCATGCCCTCCCCGTGAGGGGGTGAGAACAACACACCCAGCTACCTGGTTGTGTGGTTTAATCACCCCCTAACTTATAGAACTTGCCAAGTCACTAGTGAACACACTTGCCTCCTTTGAAAAGTGCCAGAAAGCTACAAAGATGCCTCCCAGCTCCAGCAGACGTGAAACTGTGTTGGGTGAGCTCATCAGAGATTCAGGGCACGCAGGCCATGGGCTGGCTGACACACTCGACCTGGTTTGCCCAGATGCAGCAGGTCCAAGTATGGTGAGAGCGGACTTCCAGGGTTAATACACACAGCTTGTGAGGGTGCTTCTCTGTGTGGCGGTTTTGCTCTGTTCTGACTTTTGAGTTTCTATTTATTATATGGCTCTAAACATGTAACACGACCCATATATTTTCAAAAGAGGCAAGTAAAATGTCGAGAACAATCATGCTTAAACCTATATAAACAGATATCGTGTGACTCCCACGGTGGGAGATGGAATCCTGAGTGGGAAGAGGCTGACAGAAGTTCCCAGTGAGCAGAGGAGAGCATGTAGACCCACAGTCAGGCCTTTTGTCTCCTATCCTGAGGGTCTTCACACTTTATGATAATACAACACTGACTCATGCCCCTGTGGGGCTGTGACAGTGCCGGCTCCTCACCACCAGACACTAACTACAGTGCGCTGTACCTGAACTTCCTCGAAAATGGTGGCCTGCTCCTGATTGGTCAGCGTGGTCAGGTGCTTCTGGAGTTCTAACTTGGTTTTAGATGAATTCATTCCTGTTGGGAAGAGAGAAGATGACAAAGGGTCTATGGGGGACGTTCAGAGCTGCAGTTACCACCTCCCAGACTGGCACACCCTCTTTAGCACGCTTCAATGCGACAATAGCGTCACTTTGAATGGCACGCTGCTGTGTGAAGTGCTGTACACCAAGCATCCAACCGGCCTCCTGTCACTGAGAGTATGCTATTAAACCAATTTCATATTCAGGGAAACCAAGGACATAAGACTCTGTAAAACGTCTTCAAATGCTACCCCTTTGTACTCTGCCACAGAGCATGTAGCTCCAAATTACTTTCTTGGTGCTAACTACTGCTGACAATCCACACATTGTCTTCAAAATGACAAACTCTCCTAACTACATGAGAACATGAAAACACCTTCTTAACGAAAAGCAAGTGGTACTGAGTTGAAAACTGATCCACATTTCTCCCTTGCACCCTACTTATGTCCCCTTCACACAGCGACTCTTGTGGCTGACAGTGCTCCTCCCATCATATTTTAACAGTCTTAAGTTAATTAGCATTACAAAAGATTCTGAGGAACACTCATAGAAATGACTACATTAAAGCCCAGCACCCATTAGAATCTAACATTAAGACATCCATTGCTGCGTGAATACAATTCAGGGCCTAGTCTGTGTGTTTTCAGGCATAAATGTTACAGTGACAATTGAGAATAAATGAGTTTGTTAACCCGACCACCCCAGAATAAAGGCCTGTTGCTGGTTTCTTCTGCCATTCCAAGTTTCCCCATGCTGAGGGGGGACCCTGCTCAGGGGCTAAGCTTAAAATACTCATGAGTAACTGATGAGCCACCAAGACTTTAAGGACAAATAAGAGTCCTTTATCAAGCTGGGGACCAAGAGCAGACTCCTGCCACCAAAAACTCTTGTCCTGAATCGAGGAGGATAGGGTTTATAAAGCCCCAATATACAATGACATCAAACCAGAGATAGGCGGTGGGGATGTGCTGGGATGGGATGGGGATGGAGGAGGTTGTTCGAATTCAATTGATCACAATAATCAATGAACTTCCCAAGCTGCAGGTGCATGCAGCATGGGACCATTCTGCTCAGCAGGATGTGGTCAGGAGACCAGGGAACTGATGATAACTAAAGACTATGAGTACTTTGGGTAGTTCAACAGCATAGGCAGTGGTCAATGCATGCATCTCCATGACTGAGGGCTGGAGAAAACCCTACCAGAGCAGGGAGTCCATTGGGGGACTCAGGAAACATACCCCCTACTTTACAGTTGAGTTTGCTGCAGTCCACAGGAGCCTGTGAACTCATGAGAGGTCAGAAGGCCCGTCAGTAGCCAGCCTGTCCAAAGCCAAAGTCCTCTTTAATTGGCTGCACTAGGCACAGGGTGCTGATTCTATGCAAAATACAGCAGGCACCTCAGCTTCTAGAATGTCATTCTTCATTACTTAGTCTTCAACCAAGATGAACTCTAAAAGGCCACTATAGAACTATTACCATTTCATTCAATACTTCATATGTTGAAGTCTCAAAATAATCACTGAGGTAGGAACTTCATTTTTAGTAACCCTGAGGTATAGATAAGAAACTGAGATGCTGAAATCACACATTTTGTCCAAAGTCATCCACAAATAGGGAGGCAAGTTGTCTGCCTCCAGAAACCAAATTCCTATGGTCTTCGCTGACTCTCTTGACTGGCAGAGCCAAATGACCTAACACACAGGCGGCTCCGGTGCAGGGGTAACTTCAGAGATGGGGTGAGGTAGAGAAAAGGCTGTGCTGGTGTAATTCATCAACTCGCCCTGCCACCTGCAGGGTTACACAGAGCTAGGGGAGCAGGACCACGGCTTTCTATAGCAATCCTTCAATACTGAAGCACAATGGTGTTTGAATTTATTAACAAAATAAGTACTCAGTAATCACCAACTAAATCCTCCCAAATATGAAAAAATATCTCTAACTCTCCAGGAAGTTGGACTAGAGTAGTTGGGCTACTGAAAACGTCAGATGCAATTCTAAGCCTCCACCATCTCTCCACAGGATGGATGGATGGGTCCTCTGACTGGCCCCAGCCAGACTTCAGATGCCTCAATACAGCAGGTCCTTCTACCTCAACTCAATATTTTGTTTTTTAGAGAGTATGATTGATTTTACAATCTCCAAAATGTTCCTCTAAACTCTGAAATAAGCAAAATAGTATTCAATACCATAGCAGTTGTATAGTTATACAGTTCAAGTAAGTAATTCAAAGTAGTTTCGCCTCTTAGAGGCTGTACAAGCATATCAGCATTGGGTATCTAGTGAAACCACACATACTACGTATTTATTCTGTTTTATACATTCTGGGGTATAGCTTGACTACATCAACTGCTTAAGAAAACATTTTGTAAGTCTTCCTTCTTATTCTTGTGGTCATGCTACTGGTCCTTTCTATATTTTGTGGAGTGCTTAGACAAACCCAACTTCCTAATAGAACATTTTTTTGGTAGTACTGGGGATTGAACCCAGGGTATTATATAAGCAAGCCAAGCACTCTACCACTGAGCCGCAGCCTTGGATTTTGGAGCCTTCCAGATTTTAGGATTAGGGATGTTCAACCGGTAATGACCAGATGTTTGGTGGGGATACTTGGTGATGGAACCTGGAACCCCATGCATGCTAGGTCAGTGCTGTACCACTGAGTTATGTCCCCACCCAAGCCTACCCTTACAGTAATACACAGTGTCTTTCAATAAAGCACTCTATTCCACTTATTGAGAATGCAACCACAAAACTCAATGGACCCCAAATCTGTCCATTAAACCATCAGTACTTCTACCAAGGTGGCCTCTCATAATTCACCATCTATTCTTTAAAATGCTTCCCACCGTGGGTAAAACACATACTCCCCAGACTCAGCATGGCTCTGTGTAATGTGGGAAATTTTTTTAAGATTTATTTATTACATGTACAGTGTTCTGCCTACATGCCAGAAGAGGGCACCAGATTGAACTGTAGATGGTTGTAAGCCACCATGTGGTTGCTGGGAATTGAACTCAGGACCCTTGGAAGTGCAGTCAGTGCTCTTAACCTCTGAGCCATCTCTCCAGCCCCTCTGTGTAATGTGTAATGTGTAATGGACATTTTGTAGAGTTTTCTGCCTTGGTTGGACTTTATTGTTTAAAAGACAAACAACAACAGCAAAATCTTGATCCCGATTAAAAGTTCCAACTGCAATTTACTGAATACTCCGGCCAGTACAGATTTTCCAAATGGAACTCAGCAGTATTGAACTCTGCAGATCATGACCTCTATCTGTAAGGCCAAAGTCACTGCTGTCTTAATAGGCCCTCAGGGGCATCTCCATCATCATATTGCCTTATCTTGACAGCTACCATGAAAGAGCTAGTGAGCATCTCAGTTGGGAGGGATTTCTTGTTAAAGCAACACTCTCATTTCCAGATACAGTTCATATGCTGTCAGCAAATAGTAACAACATGGAAACTCGGGAACTAGTTTTTAAAATACATCAATCATGTTCCATGTTCATTTCAAGGGCTCTGTAATGCCCAAAGTGAACCCTTTCAGATTTTATGATGTAAACTACTAAGTCATCTTTTTTGTTTGTTTGTTTGTTTTGTTTTTTGAGACATGGTTTCTCTGCATTGTTTTGGAGGCTGTCCTGGAACTCGCTCTGTAGACCAGGCCGGCCTCGAACTCACAGAGATCCACCTGCCTCTGCCTCCCAAGTGCTGGGATTAAAGTCATGTGCCACCAACGCCAGGCTTACTAAGTCATCTTATTTAAAAAAAAAAAAAAAAAAAGACAACATTTCATTTCTATTAGGACACCTACCAACATAAAATTCGTTTTAGTAAGGATGCAAAGAATTTGGATTCTGTGTATGGTGCAAAGATAATCATTATAGAACAGTATAGGAGGGTCTGAAAGTTAGACTCATTGTACTGGCTAGTTTTATGTCAACTTGACACAGCTAGAGTCATCTGAAAGGAAGGATTCTCAACTGAGAAAATGCTTCTATAAGATCAAGCTGTATGCAGCCTGTAAGGCATTTTCTTAGTGATCAATGGGGGAGAACCAACCCATTGTGGGTGGTACCATCCCTGGGCTGGGGGTCCTGGATTCTATAAGAAAGGAAGCTGAGCAAGTCATGAGGAGCAAGTCAGTAAGCAGCACCCCTTGATAGCCTCTCTGCATCAGCTCCTGCCTTCAGGTCCCTGCCTTGATTGAGTTCCCGTGCTGACTTCCTTCAGTGATGGACTATGATGTAGAAGTGTAAGCCAAATAAACTCTTTGCTTCCCAACTTGCTTTGGTCATGGTGTTTTATAGAACACCCTAAGTAGGACACTCACCATATAATTTCACTTACCCAGAACTAAAAGGAGAAACCTGAGCAGATGTTTACGCCAATATTCTTAGCATTGGTGCTCACACAGTCAAAAGAAAAAAAGAACCCAAATGGCCAATGGTGAACAAACAGATACAACTTATGGACTATTATTCAGTCATACAAAGAAATAAGATTCTAACACATACAAAATAGGCAAACCCAGAAGACATAATGCTAAGTGAAAGAAGCTAAAAGCAAGAAAACAAATTCTACTGATCCCACTATACAGTAGCTAGATTAATTCACTTTGTAGAATCGGAAAGATAGGGTGTGGTGGGAGATGGGCTGGCTCAGTAGTAAGAGTGATTGCTCTGAAAGCAGGTAAACCTGAGTTCAAAGCAGGGCATCCCGCTTGTGCCTCTAACTCCTGCACTGGGGGACAGGGACAAGTGGACTCAGCAGTCGCCAGCCAGACTAGTTTAGCCAAAAATAGCTTCTGGTTCTGTGAGAAGCCCTGTCTCCGGACAAGGAAGAGAATTACAAGGAAAGAACCTGTCTCCCTGCTCTGCCTTCAACATGTGTGGGCACAGGCAGCATGCATTCACACACCACCAATGACAACTTCCCTACCCCCAGCCACGTGGGAAAACAAAGTGGAATGGAGGTTGCTTGGGGCTATGGGAACCTTACAAAGAGGAGAGACTGCTGAACGAGTAATGACTAAGGAAGATGAGAAGGTTCTGGACATGGACAGTAGCCAGGGGTTATTTCACACTAAATGGATGTAAGGCCACTGAACTGTATGGTTTTTAAGTGTAAACAATAAATTTTATGTTTGGGTATATTTTTCCCACAACTATTTAGAAAAAAGTGTGTTTTTTTACTTTATGTCTAAATGTCAATATAGTCTTTCTCACAGAATTATAGTTTGTGACAAGTATTTCAGATACACAATAATCACATCTTTGCTTTTACAATTAGGTAATTTAAATGATGTAACAGTCTCATGAATTATACATAAAAAAGTTTAGAAATTTTCCTACAGATAGGACAAGACACAACGTGAAGACAAGAGAAACACAAACACCTCCCCTCTTTGTATCTTTCAAACGAGCACCGACCATCCTCCTTACCCTGTCTCCCACCCCTCCCTGCTGACCCACATCAGACTTTATTGTTGCCAGCAGAACATTCCTGCTCAAGAGGGTCTTTCCACTCTTGAGAGATGGTTAGCTGCAGTAACAGTCAGGACAGTGCGTCCTGGGCTTGCTATATGCTAGTTTATCCCTAGATGTCTCTAATCTTCCACTAATTTATTTATAGAATTACATAATAATCCACTTTTTTCTCACAAACATGATGAATACAAAATTGATAATATCTTTTAAAAACAACGTAACACAGTAACTGGCCCCTCCTAGGATCACATACCCGCACATAACAGCATTCCACTGTATGCTTCTAGAAACCATAGTTAATATGCTCACCACATCTTTTATTCCCTCCCATTGATGCCTTAGGTGAAGCCTGTTCTCTGCTCCCCTCCATTCAAACTGCCCTGGCAGAGATTACAGGTGATCCTCTACTGGAAAAGCAGGGTTGAAATCTACAGGTCTCATTTTCCGATCTCTCTGTGGTGGCTCAATAAATGTTTGGTGACATTTATCCCCTAACTTCTCCATTAGTCTCAGAGTGCCTTGCGGAGAGATGACAAGAGGAGACAGGGGTTCCATCATGCCCAGGGAAACTTCTTGTCTTACAGCAGACATTCACTGCACAGTGTGCGTTCACCTAGGACGCAGCCCTCTGACCCAACCCCCTGGCGCAGCCCCAGCAGAAGCGGCCCACACAAATACTCCCACCCAAAGCATCTGTGCTACGGGCTAACAGTGCCGCCTACTCACCCTCTATCCTCTCGCAGAGCTTGTGCAGGCCCTGCAAGGGGCAGCCCTCGCACAGCTGGGCTGGTGCCTTAGCAGTCTGCTGCACAGCAGCTACCGTGAAGGCCTGCTTCAGAGTCATCATGATCTCGTCAACCTGGGCAGACAACAAAGCGTCAACAGCAAGTTTATAGAAGAGACTTTGTCCTGTAGACTTTTTTCTCAGCGATTTTCCAGGGACTGTCAGAACACACTGGAAATAATGGCTAGGATTGCAGTCTGTGGGTCACCACTGAGAGATACAGCAATCTTAACACAGGTGAGGCACCGGGCAAAATGGTCCAAAGTTCACAGGGATTTTTTTTTAATTTTTCTTCCCTGTTTCTTTTTAGTACCAGGTCTCACAACACGGCTTAAGTGGGTTACAAACTTGTCCTATAGTGCTATAGCTTGTAGTCTTTCTACCTCAAGCCTAAGTGCTGGGATTTACAAAACAGGGCCACCACTCCCCAGGGAAAATGAAGTTTCTAAAAAAGCAAGCATGTCTTTCAAAACTATTGACATTTAAAATGAAAATTCAAATGAGTCTCGGATGCATAGCAGAAAGGTATTAGTCACAGGTGAATAAACCAAATATCGCTACGTCAACAAGGCTCTGCAGCTCTACAGAGAAGGCAGGCTTGAAATTCCCCACGGGGCTTACAGTGGGCAGTGTGGTCCTCTTACCAGGGCTTCGTTTGTGCACTGGAACACGTAACAGACGAAATGGAAGCCGCCGCTGCCCGAGCACTCCCGGCAGATAAACCCAAAGTGGTCCACATGCCTGATGCCCTGGGAGAGGAGGAAGACTGTGGGTGAACAGAGCAGAAGTGTGGCCGGCAGGAGCATGCTTCATGGTGACATGGTGACGCTGCCCCCTTTACAGAGCACTACGAGATTACTGCTCACACGTTTTTAAATAAAGGTTAGCACCCCAGTCAAATGTTACTTCTATTACCTCACAATGAGAGCCAAGGTTTGGACGCTCGTATCTCAGTGCTCTCTTACTATTAAAAAAGGAGATGTAGCTGACAGAAAACCTAGAACTTTGCGGTGTGTGGGGAGGAGCGCAAGGAATGAAAACTACTTCAAAAATCGACAGCATACCAGAGTTTAAGAAACAGCTCTCACACCAACACACGGGGACAAACATGTATACACAACTCACACATATAAAGGTTAAAAAAGATTCAAACTGTGTTGGTACAAAAATCACAAGCAGATACTGAACTGAGCTGGCATGAAGAATGAGCAAAAAAATCACTTGTATGCCGAGACTAGTAGCTTTGACGTCTGTGAGATGGAAGTCAGGGCTCTGCCAGTGTGGCACACGCGCTTTCTCATAAAAAAAACCTTAACACAGAAACTCAATCTGAGAGCGCAGGGAACAGAAGCTGACAGAGCGCCTTGTCGCTGCCTCCCAAATCTGTCAGAAGCAACTGTGATGTCCTCTCTAGCCGTATGCTTATTTAATGGGTATCAGTGTTTTGCCTTGATGTACTGTGTACTGTGTACATGCCTGGTGTCACAGAGGTCACATATGGGTGTCCAATTCCCTGGAATGGGAGTTAGAAATGGTTGTGAGTGGTGGGGACAGAACCTGGGTCCCCTGCAGGAACAAGCAGTGCTCTTAAATAGTGAGCCATCTCTCCAGCATCAACGCCTAGTTTCATTGTCACCTTGACGACATCTAGAATCACCTGGGAGAAGGGCCTCTGGGAATGTCTTCGGGGATTGTTTTGATTACATTAATTGTGCTGAGTGGATCCACACTGAGTATGGATGACACCCGGGCCATACCCTGGACCGAGCAAAAAAGGACGCAAGCTGAGCGCTGTAACTGACTACACATCAGAAGTGTGAGTGGAATAAAGCCTTTCTCCCTCCAGGTGCTTTTGTTAGGGTGTTTTGCCATAGCAACAGGAAAGGAAACTGAGACAACCTAAGTACAAATGAAGTATCTCTATGACTATTAGTTATCAAGGCTCTGAAAGCATCACCATGCGGAAATATGGGTACGTGTAACTTAAGGTTCAGATGACCTGATCAATTGCACTTCTTTACGATAGAATAAACTACCACACCATTCTAAAAAGCAAAGGTCTCCCAACGTGGTGGTGCAGGTCTCTAATTCCAGCAGTCAGGAGGTAGAGGCAGGTATGGATCTCTGTGAGTTCGAGACCAGCACAGTCTACATAGTAAGTTCAGGACAGCATGAGCTTTCTAGAGAGACCTTAAATATCTAACTTTTTTTTGGCTTTTCAAGACAGGGTTTCTCTGTCTAGCTCTGGCTATCCTAGAACTCAAACTGTAGACCAGGCTAGTCCTGAACTCACAGAGATCAGCCGGCCTGCCTCTGGGATTAAAGGTGTGTGCCACCACTGTGCAGCCTAACATTAATATTTTAACATAATTAAGATGATAATCACTTTCAGGCAAGTATTTACCAGTCAGTAATTGCTGATATAACCTGATCTCAGTCAGTGTCCTCCATCAGCAAACTAAGCATATATCAGAGGCTGCTACACAGGAGGTGTGATTTGTCAGTTTCTTTGAAAAGGTTTTCCTATTCAACTTGTTACGAACATTACTTGTTATCATAATTAAGAACAGTATCTTTTTGACTACTTAATTAGCTTACATTTTAGAGTAACAAACAACTAAGATGTTTGACATCTTATTACAGAAAGGAAAAGTTAGAACATAAGAAAAAGATAAATCACCAAACAGGGACATAAATGATCTCTTTTTGCCAGGACAATCCGGAGAAAACTGGTTCATCACAATGGACAGATTCCTCCCAGATGTCTCTATGAAACACAGCTGGGAGGCTAACAAACACAAAGTTTCAAGTAGACACTGCACTCTGGATGAAACCCTTCAAACCTACTATTATTTGTTGTACTTACAGAAGAAATAATGAGAATTCTAAATAATTAAGAATTTCAAGAAAATAGAAATAAGTTTCTATACAGCATATATATGAATTATATATAAAAACATATCAATTATACATAAGCCATGTGTATACATACATACATATATCTCAATTATATGTAAAGCATGCATATACATCAATTACATAAGACATGTGCACACATACACATACCAATTATACATTAAACATGAACATATATATAATCTTTTGGAGATAGCTAGAAAGCATTAAATACCAGTAACAGAGAAAAGAAAGGAGGGTAGACAATTTTCTCTAGTACACTGTTCCAAAAAGCGAAATTGTTAATGTCAGGGTTACAATTTGCCTTAGTAAGCTATGAGATAGAGACTACCAATCAAGATTGAAAACCTGCTTTCTTACACAACAGTGCTTCTACTGCATGCATTAGAAGAACTGAAATTTAATTAATAATCTGTCTGCATTTACCTGAGAGCAAAAGGATATCTCCTTAAAATTTTTCTCCAGTGCAATCTTTTTGGTGTCGGGACTGATGAGGTAAACTTCAGATTGGCCAATCTTAAAAAACAACAAAAAGAAAGAAATGTGGTTCCTCTGAAAACTGATTCAGTATATGTGTCATGACCTGTGAGGATGAAGAGGAAAGTGGCAAGCTCTGATAAAACTATCACTGCAATGGAGTTTCAAAGTTTGCAGTTTGTGGCATAGATTTCAAAAGACAGGGACAAACACCTATTGATTGATACAGCGGTATTCTGAGAAGAAAGGACCACACAGCTAAATGATGATAATAGTCCTCAATGCCCGCCCACATCCCCTTCAACAGGAAATCAGTTTTCTATACAAGTCACTAGAATCGTTTCTATTTAAAATTTCCAAACCACCTGTGGCAGCAGAGTGTGGTGCTGCCAGGCTGACTGTGGAAGTCTGCTCCCTGACCGCCTCCTCCGTGTGCGGACGACTCTCAGTTCCTGTGTGTGTTGGTTTCTACAGATTTAATCCCTCCTGAGGATCAACAAGCTACCGATCACGTCCTCATGTCACTCTAACCCACAAGCTTCTATTCCCAAGCTCTTTATCCTTTGACATGAAATACAAATCAGAGAACAAGATGTGGAGATCTACAGCTTTGTGGAGGCTAAAATGCCAGGGATCACGTGGGACACAGAGTCTTTACTTGTTCCCTTGTGTAAGCAGGAGATCTGGGACTGTGAAGTTGCTACTGGTCTCTCGGCCACGACTGCTTCCCATGTCACACCACTAACACGTCACGTCAGTAGGAACCTGAAGTAAGGAAGGAAAGCCAGGGTACCTGAGGGGCCTGCCAGGAGAAGCATGGGGTGATGTCTTCAGGACTCTAGGACAGCTCCTTCCCAGCTTCCTCACATCTCACCTGTTGCTCTCTGGACCCAGAAGACCCTGCCTGCTGGCCTCATGGAAACCTCTGCTTGGTGAGAATCGCGTCCTCAAAGGTGCCTCTCCCGATTCCCCAAGCATTTCCACAGCATCCATTACTCCCCAGTGCTCACTACAATCGTAATTACATAATTGCTGGCGTGCCAGTGCCCTGTCTGCATTGCTGGAATCTAGATTCTGTGTGGGCAGAGACTACTCACTGCCATGTTTCTAGCATATTCTAGTAACAAGCAAATGCATTGTGTAGCTTTTTCAGCCACACTGCAGTCTTTGGGAAAAAGCATACAGAGCACAGATTAAAGCACATGTGTTACGTGTACTAGGTCAATTATGATGAGAGGAAGCCAGCCCTATTACCCTAACACACCATCTGGATTCTTAAGGGTTTATTATGCTTTAGGAGCACTGTGTGTTCTTAAAGGCTAACCATCTCTCCAGATCCATTTTCTGGGTTTTTAGATCCAGTTATAGCCATAGCACACTAATCTATGCAGTCAGTTTCCTTAGTCCTTGGCCATTTCATTGCCTTGGGTTAAGTACAAAAAGGCTACACTACATCTAAGCCAATTTTGTCCCTACCATTATTAAACCAAAGATGCAGAAGCCACAGACCAGCTCACTTCAGGGAGAGGGCACAGTCCTTTCCATCCATACCCAGGGAAGTCATCTATCCAGAAAAATCCAAGCCACCATGAAATTCCAATAGCTGGCTCCCTTATCTAGTCCCTTTCTTCTATACAGCTATCAGTTTAACAATTTTCTGTTTAAAAAAAAAACAAGCAACTAAACTAGTATTTGTTGAGGTATAAGTTTTAAATACAAGGTTATTTACAAATTGTATTACCCTGGTAAACAATACCAATGGGTGTTTATAAATAAGAGAGTATTTCCACTTAAAATTGTGTTGAAACTTACATACATTGTGTTTAACAACTGTTTTGAACCTCTTTTGTATTACTATTCTTTCTGCAATGAAAGGGTGTCTACAACCACTGATGCCGTAAGACGATTTTTCTCAGACCTCCAGGGTGCAGAAAACTGCCCAAGATTTTACCGTGAAGAGCATAGTTCGGTTCTCCTCCATGTCTGTGGGCTGAACGACATTGTGTCCTCCGATGAGGTGGTTTTCGATGTCATTGTCGAAGGAGCTGAAGGTGCTACTGCGGAGGCTGGTGTCCTGGAACTCCTTCCTGAAGGCCAGGGAGCGCAGCCCGGGCTGCGAGAAGGACTTGCGCATAGGCCGGGCACCCGGTGCTGATGGCGGCCCAGTGGGTGTGTCCCAGTCTCTGCGGCCACAGTTCACGTGGTTGAACTTCTCGATGCACTCATCGATCAGCGCTGGTGGCGCCTTCTTGTGGGCCACGGTGACGCGGCCGCAGAAGAGCACCTCGAACTTTTTGGCGAAGGTGTCATCGAATTCTGAGGGGCAGCGCAGCTCCTCCTGGCGGGCGATCTTCCCCGCCTGCCGGATGGAACTGATGATCTCAGGCACCTGCGAGAAAGGGAGCAGGGTTAGGGACAACTGTGGCAGTGAATTGTCCTGCGGAGCACACGACATAAATGGCAGCTTCCAGAGCACCCTGGCTGCCACAGGGGCTGGGCGGTACGTGGTCACAGCAGCCTCCAGTGTTAAGTGGCCAGCCCAGGGCAGGCTTTGCACGCTAAACCCTAAGGTTCTCAGGTCATCTGCACTGAGCTTTGCCTCAGCGGTGATTCACCTAAACACACCAGTTCATTCAGAAGAGTTCAGGTCAGTGCCCTTTGAAAACCTTTCCTCAGTACATGGTGGGACAAAGGGCTCTAAAATTACCTTACATTTATTGAAATGATGGCATCATTGTTTTCTTCAATGGCAACTAACAAGTAATGACTTGATGCTATATTTCCTAATGTTGACTGATAAAACTGAGTTAGACAGTATGATCCAAGGACGGCAGAGAACCCATGCCTACTTTCACAGGAACACAGTGGGGCTTCTCACAAAGAGCTTTTCTTTCCGAATGTTAAGTCTCCAGGCAAATGCTCGCCCGTGTTATGGTTCCCCTCCCACTCCATCCTGTCCACTTATGAGTAGGCTCTCCACAGCAGCTTCAGAAATAAGATGAATCCATGTCATTGTCAGTGAGCACCTGAGCACTGCTTAGATGACCAACAGTCACAACACTCACTCTGATAGTCAGTTTTTGCTTCCACAGGATACATATACCTATAGCTCCCATATTTCCATGTATAAAACTTTGGGCTGAGGGCCAAACACCTACAGGCCAGTTTATTTAACATCATAACCAGAAAAATCCAACCTCTTTTCCAATTCAGAGTGTACAATAAAGGGAGATGGTTTCAGTTCATTTTGAAAGCAAGTTTGTATTCTGCGTCCATGACATATTTGTCAAAGAGCCACTGGCTCTTGTCACTAAAGATACCCTTTCTGCCATAAAGATTAGCATATCTCCTCACAAGAGTCAAGGATGTCTTTAGAGATATATTTTTAATAAGTGACCCCTAGGCTGAAGAGTTGGGTCAGCAGTTAAGAGCACATTTAATGCTCTTTCAGAAAACTGGGGTTTGATTCCTGGCATCCATACGGTGGCATCTATAACTCTGGGTCCAGTGGATAAAACATCCTCTTCTGGCCTCATTGGGCACTGCATGCACACGGTACACAAGCATAGATAGGGAACATACACACACACACACACACACACACACACACACACACACACACACACACTTTAAAACATGGTTTCTAAAGCACAAGATTTAACTATTATGTAAAAGATGGATTTTTAGTTGGGTAGTGGTGGTACACACTTTTTTAATCCCAGCACCAGGGAAGCAGAAGCAGGTGGATCTCTGTGAGTTTTAGACCAGCCTGGTCTACACTGAGAGTTCCAGAACAATTAGAGCTACACAAAGAGACTCCCCAAACAGATAAAAAGATGTTTTCTTTAATGTGGAGGTTGGGCTTCTTTGGTGTGCGTGTGGTGGTCAGAAGACAACCTGTTGGACTTGGTTCTTTCTCTGCACCCTGTGTCCCAGAGACAGACCTCAAGCCATTAGCTTAGCCAGGAGGCACCTGTACCTGCTGAGCCATCTTGCAGCCCAAGGCTGAGTTCTTAAATGGTAATCATGTTTGCACTGAATACTTTATATGCTCAGGCTGTAGCCCATTCCCATGCTGACAGATAGTTTTGTGTATCATGTGGCAGCCTAGGAGTTGTTATTGGAAGATAGAAAAGAAACAGCAGGACATCTAAGCTGCAGTCACAACGTTGTTAATGGTTCACAGAACCATGGGGGAAAAAAAACAAAAGGCCATGGTTTCTCTCTGTAGGAGAGGGACTTCAAGACCAGAAGCACTAAAGATTGTCTAGGAAAAAGTTAGTTCTGTGTGGTAAAAAATAGTGTTCCTTCAAATCAAGATGGCCAGCTTATGCTTGTGAAGGACCATAACTTTTCTCAGCATGGGTGTGAGACTATTTTCACAGGAGTCACATGAATCTTCTCAATATTTATTAACTGTACTTCCCAACAGAAAATGCAACTTGTTCGGTCCTTTGCGGCCTGCTAAGAGATCCACAAGTGAGCAATGATGTCTTCCATCAGATTTCAAAGAGGGAAAAAATGTATGAAGTCATAGGGACTTATAGCACTTCCGCTATAACAGAACAGCTATAGACCCAAGTACTCAGGTGTCCCTTGACTCTGGAGTCAGAAGCAGCTGAAGAACACATTTCACCCTGGTCAGAGTTCAGGCTGTCACAGGTTTTCTAACTAAGGATCATGTTCCTGATTAGAATGTAAAACAGACACAGTTCATTCAAAGACCAAATCCAATCTCTCCTTGCTCTGATGGGCCTTACTATTTAGAGATAAATTTTACTCAAGCCTCCTGGCACCCTGCACCATGGAGGCACATATACAAAAAAGTGGAAGGCAGAATCTGGGAGACAGGACACCAGCTCATGCAGGACAAGGGGTGGGGTGAAGCTCTGGGGGAAATAATGGGAGGGAACAAAGGGGCCCTGGAAGAGCTGGCATAAATTCAGGATGAAGGGAAGGCCACAGTGAGGCAGGGTGAGGCAAAGATGTCCTAAAGACAAGAAAAGCAGGCTCGGGAAGGGAGGTGGGCAGGAGCCTGAAGCTCACGGATGCCTAAAAAGAAGGAAGATGTCAGTATTAACCCCCAAAATAGACACAAATGAAAAACAGCCTTATGATCTATAGGAATATATATCAGGTTACTATGATTCCACCTCCCCCACCACCACCACCACCACCAAAAAACAAAACAGCAAACCCAAGACCTTCTTGGGGCAAATACACAGGGGTCAGGGAGCCTTACTCCCACTGCACTGGGTCACTAGAGGCACACTCCCTTTGATACGATCTAGTCCCTTTACTGAAAATCTTGCCGAGTTCAGTCCTAGAACTAAGAACTGCGTCATTCCTGTTTGCAGATAAGCCGATAAAGCAAATTCAAACTAACCAAAGCAGAGGAAAAAAATGTGAAAACTGTTTCAGTAGAATAAATTTAACAAGGGGTTGGGTTTGGCTAGAGTATCTGATACTATGGGAACCACAACCAAAAAATGTTAGATAATTAAAATCAATTACCCAAAATTAATGAAGCAGACCTGTTTAGGTACATAGACTTCATACACTAACAAACACATGGTAAAGGGCATTTTTGGTTCAGGCTCAAGTCAGTATTGCTTCATAAGGACAGGGAAAATGATTCTCTAAGAATCAGAGATACCTCTGCAAATCAAGTCCTCATTCAAGCGCATGGGTCAGCTTTTTAAGGATTTAGGGATTTTAAGGGATTACAAACATACTGCAACTGTAATTTTATTCACAGGGATTTAGGCAGGCATTTCTAAAATAACCTTTAGAATAAAAATGTCACTTTTACTTTGCATTTGCAGGTTTCTCTGCCAACTATTAGCATATAAATGACTCTTTTGAAGTCCAGGGTCTTGGCCTCCTCTTCCTGTGAGCCTGGGGTGACCTGTGAAGACTTCCCTACTCTCTTGACCCCAAACCCTACAAAGTCATGCAATCAAAAGGTTCAAATCCTTTGTGCACTTTAAGAACACCTGTGAAACTGCCCAGGCCATCAAAGGTATGCATATCTGAAACAACACCAGGTATCTGAAGATGTCACTTTAAAGAAGCAATGTATATGTTCGGGCGGTATCGTGGTGGAGTTGGTAGGTGTGCCCAGGCTAAACAGTGGAGCAGGACACAGGGTCAGTAGCCAAAAAAGTGTGGGGAATTCTTGCTGCACATGCTTAAGAATGCAGAGTGTGCTGAGCTTAAGGTTTAGACATAGATGCTCTCAGGTCACTGAACACATCCAGGTGAACAAAGCACCTAAGATGCCCACGAATTTACAGAGCTCACAGCCAGATTAACCCATACATGAGCTCCCCCTGCCTAATGGAGAAGATCCTCACTGAAAAGAACAAAGTGGCCCAAAGCCAGATGAGGAGGGTGCACAGAATAAACAGATCCCATTAGAAACTGAAGGAACAAAAACTTGCAGCACAAGAATAAATTTAGCATAAAATAAATGCAGATAAAAGTTAAAAAGAAAACAGTCTAGCATCTCTATTTAAAATTATAACAACTTTCCTTTATTATATAACAGAAAAACTATTTTGAAACTGCAAAAAGAAGGCAGGAATACTCACTGCTTCATCTCTCAGAAGGGATGCTTTCATATTGTAAGGAATTAAATAAAAATAATAGTAGTAACTGTAACAGCAATAGTAAAAGAACTAATAGAAAAGTACCCCATCTCATATTAATTACTTTCCATCTGTTGTTAATGAGAATTAGTGCTTGTTTGTTGATGGTGAGAAAGAAACCACTTTAGATCAAGCTTTTCTTCATCACCCCTTCTCTGCCTCTGATTCCACACAGAGCTCCTGTCGGTGTCTTATTAGTTTTCACACAGTATTTAGAGAGAAAACGCAACAGCCACTCTCTATACAACATGATAGCCATTCAGGTTTGGCCCCATGGGATAAAACTGAGACTTGAGCAAAGGACGGATGGGACAAAGGTAGCCACGCTACCCGGAGGATTCCAACCACTCTCCACAGAGACGAGCAAACTGTCAACGCCGACACAGAGAATGAGCACGGGACAGTGACTGAGAAAGGTGGGCGCCACCGCTGCGCACGGAGAGAAGCGCTAGGCACAGAGGAGGACAGAGAAAGGAATCCAGGCGTTTTTAAAGAAACTGAAGTACAGACTGGACGACTTCAGTGTTTCCCACACTTGGCCTTCTTAAAATAAAACCAGCCACCAAAGTGCCCATGGAGTCAAATTTAACTCCACTCTATTCCTATGCAAGAAAGGGTTTAATAAAATTGTAGGTCATATTTAAAAAGCGATATTCAGAAACAGAGCCTGAGAGAATTCCTGCTTGAACTGTTTGCCCATTCTCGCCATACCCTGCCTGCTGGCTGCCATGTAAAGCCA